GAGCAGCCTGCACCAGTTTTCGTCATTTTTGATATATTTATTTTAAGCGAAGTTCGGTCTTATTAAAATTATTAAGGTGGGTAATTAGCAAAACATCGTTGGAGCCATACGAAAGTGTGAGTAACGATCCAAGAGCAAGTCTTATCTGACACTATTCCGACAATATCCTGGACGTCAGTATGAGCGATATTAGAATGGCTCTCCAGCCCCTTAAAAATGGCAAGTCCCCGGGCGAGGATGGAATTACAGCGGAGCTTCTGAAAGCGGTTGGCAAACCCGTACTTGAAGTTCTTCAGAAGCTGTTCAATTACGTCCTCCATGGTGGCACTACTCCAGAAGCGTGGAGCAGTGGAGCGTGCAGTACGGTGGTCTTGTTCTTCAAGAGAGGTGACAACGCTCTTTTGAAGAACTACAGACCGATATCCATTCTGAGCCGTTTTCGAGTCATTACGAATCGTCTCGCACGCAGACTAGACGACTTCCAGCCTCCCGAACAAGCCGGTTTCTGAAAAGGCTATGGACCACATACATACCCTTCGGCTAATTGTACAGAAGTCCGAAGAGTACAATCTGCCACTTTACCTGGCGTATGTGGACTATGAGAAGGCCTTTGACTAAGTCGAAATTTGGGCGGTGCTACAGTCTCTTCAGCGGTGCCAAGTTGACTGTCGGTATATCGAAGTACTGAAGTGTTTGTACAGTAGGGCTACGATGGCTATCCGAGTACAGAACCAGAGTACGAAACCTATCCTACTAACTATAACTGCAGAGAGGTGTAAGACAGGGTGACGTTATATCCCCGAAATTCTTCACCGCTGCATTGGTAGACGTATTCAAGCTACTGGACTGGAAAGGATATGGTTTTAACATCAATAGAGGAACAGAAACTTTTTTATTCAATGTAAGTTATAAACAATACTTATTGAAAGTCATTTTTTTCATTTACCACTGGTTCGCAAACAATCGTGGTAGAATCACTGTAGGACCAAAGCGCTATGCTCAATGACCTGAATAGTACCTCCCAACGGATAGGTCTTAAGAGGAAAAAGGACAAAACAAAAATCATGTGTAACGTCCATGTCACACTTTGCCGGTACCAGTTGTGTGGCCCAAGATCAAACCTAAAATGAGAAAGAAGCTCTTCCACACTCACCATATAAAGCATTAAGCTATATTCACTTCAGTTGTTGTGAGCACTAAGCTTGAAGTTGTTGACGAGTATATTTACCTATAGTTCATAAAAGATCACTAATTAGGTGGGCATGCACATAAAGTATGACATTGACAGGTACTGTCTGTACACTGACCTCTATATATACAAGTACGCTGGACTGGCTATACCATATAAAATGACTGTGCCAATTTGAAGCGCCACTAAAGGATGTATTGAAAAATAAAATTATTCATATTGTCATAATATATAATAAGTCTATATTTTGAACTTTTAAAACTAAAAAACGAAATTATTTTATGTTGTTTGATTGTGTATAATATTAGTTACATAATAAGAATTATTTTTATTAATAATGAGAGGGTGCGTAATCTGTAAAACTCGTTACCAAAAGGGAAGTGGTATAACATTTCACAAGAAAGTGAATTTGCAGTAAATATTAGACAAATTTAAACTATTTTATAATATAAATACTTAGAAATTTGTTACTAATCTTAATATCATATATACCAACATGTTTGGCTGTATATTATGGAGTTTTGATAAACAATAAAATTCAATAGGGTTGTCGAGTTCCTTGTCTATAATACTTATCGATGTTCTTTCCTACCCATATCTGTTAACAAACAAAGACTCCAACAACAGATGATTATCAAATGTTTATTAATTAACAGGTTTCCAACTGACTTAAAATCATAAATATTGTGAATTAGCGTCCGAAACAAAATGATCATATTTGTTCCAAACATTTCACAGACGACTGTTTTATTAGACATGAGAACTACATCACTTTGAAAAAGTGCGGTATACCGACAATATTTTCTGGTAGTACCAGCACCAAGCACTACCAACTACTAAGTATTAGATTATTATTTCGAATGTTTTTTTTTATATCTTCTTTCCTCATTTTCCACTCAACTCAAGGGCCATAGCCAAGTGTCGAAAGGTCGCCTGATGATGTCGCGCTTCCAAGTGCTCGTTTCTCCCTGGCTCCATTCACATATCGGGCTCGGTAATTGATAATTTCAGTTTTTTTTTTAATATTGTAATTTTAATATCGAGAATGATGTAAATAACTGATAACTATGTAATTCAAAGTTTCAATTTTTTTATATTATCTTGCTAGCTCATACCCGACGCATTGCTGCCACAGAAGAAATAATTGTGGAAATATCGTTAAAAATGTGGAACAGTTATATTGTATAATTAGGAATGATAATAAAATCATTGAAATAAAATAATATATAACTTTCTATAACTTTCAAATAAATAGTCAGGATAATAGGCACGCCACCTAGTGTCAGTTAATTGTACCATGCGTATAACCTTCGTACAAGTGCAACCAATAAGTTGACTAAGTTTTACCGCAATCTGATGAACGGTATGGTATCGTAGAAAGTACGAACAAACAAAAATTTTTATATAGTAGAAAATATTTTACTGTCAATAGACAGACCTGTAGTTGATTAGAATAGGCGTTATTATAGCAGCTGATTTGTTTTTTTATAATACTAAAACAAAATGAACGGTTGACAATAAATTATTCTAGAAATTATGTTTTTATTTTGTGTACTTAGTTTAATCTTAACAATTTTTTACTTGAATGGTTAAGGGTTATGATGGCTATCCGAGTACAGAACCAGAGTACAAAACTAATCCAACTGTAGAGATGTGTAAGACAGGGTGACGTAATCGTAATCCCTGTATCCCCGAAACTCTTCACCGCTGCATTGAAAACGTTTTCAACCTACTGGACTGGAAAGGATACGGTATTAACGTCAATGTCGTGTACGTCACTCACCTTCGATTTGCCGACAAGATAGTCCTTATGGCACAATCGCTGGAGGACCTACGCACTATGTTCAATGACCTCAATAGTGTCTCCCGGATAGGTCTTAAGATGAACATGGACAAAACAAAAGTCATGTGTAATGTCCATGTCAGAACTATGCCGGTGGTTTTTGGGAGCACTTAGCTGAAGTTGTTGATGAGTATTTTTATTGGGACAAATAGTCCGACTAGGTAGGTCCGTCGATTGACGGATTCAACTCGGCTGGGCAACGTTCGGGAGATTACAACACATCTTCTCGTCAGGAATACCTCAAAACTAGATTGTACAACCAATGCATGTTGCGAGTGATGAAATATGATTCTGAGACGAGGTCTTTCACTGCTGACCGTATGAGGAAGCTCGAAGTCGCTCAATGAGCTATGAAGAAGGCTATGCTCGGGGGTTGAAACTTAAGAATGAGGATATCTGTAGCAGAACCAGAGTAACCAACATCGCCCAATGGATTAGTAAGCTGAAGTTGCAATTGATCGGCCATATAGCTCGAAGAACCGAATATCGATGAGGAAAAAAGGTTCTCGAGTGGCAGCCTTATACTGGCAGGTGAAGTGTAGGACGTTCCCTCACTAGATGGAGTCAAAACCTGGTAAGACATGCAGGAAGTTGATGGATGCAGGTAGCTCAGGACCGTGCTTTGTGGCATTCCTTGGGGGAGGCCTATGTTCAGCAGTGGATTTGTGAAGGGTTTTAATGATTATGAATGATAATGGCATTATATTAATATGATACATAAATAGAATGGACGTTACGGGTAGAGTCCATCTATCCATAGAGTCCATTCTATTTATTTGGGTATAGGTAGGGTATAGAATTTTTATCGATATAATTTGGTACACTGTCTTATCCCTAGTATTAGTTCCGCGGACGTGCACTTCTGATGTCAGCGCCAAAATGGCGGAAATCAAATCTCTTCATCATGTCACGGTGTATAGCCAGTCCAGCGTACTTGTATATATAAAGGTCAGTGTGTCTGTACTACTAAGAAATTCAGGACTTCATAGTCGTGATTTTTACTGACAGCTGTCGCAGAGATCAAACTATCTTTTATGAACTATAAGATAAATAGTTCAACTGGGTAAGTCCAAGTTCGACCGAGAGTTGACAACGTCTCAGATCACTGGCAACACGGGACGCACTGGTTCTTGTTTTTAAGTTTTGAGGTATAAGAACCTGATAAGGAGATGTGTATTCTTTGAGTATTAAACCAACTACTCAAAGTGTGTATTAAATCTTCCAAACTGTCCAGCCGAGTTGAATCCATCGATGACTAAAGTCATAGCCGATTATTGTCGATGCTAGGAAAATCGATTATTTGTTATCGAATACGGTCGTTGCTTCTTTATTATTATTAGTAATAGATATGATAGTATCATAATATCCATATCTCTAGTACATAGTCAGTAATCTATGATAATATCATTTAATATTTTTATTATTATTTATTCCATCTCTGTCCGTGGAAGTTTTTGTTTCTTTATTTACATAATTAAAACACTGTTATCATTTAACCACGCAATAAATTCATTTGGTTGTCTTTATATATTAATAGAATTACTAATTAATTTGAAACTACATAATATTTACATTTTGTGAAAGTGCATAAACTATGAAGTGGTGATGATGTCAGTGCGTTATTCTTTTTTTATTTATTGAGTTTTAAATGCGTGTACGAGACTACTAGCTAAGATTTTACATCTGCATAACAGATGCTTTAGATGTTATTTCCAGCTGCGCATTTTCCTGTCTTGATAATGATAACCCTAAGTTGTTTATTTGAGAACGCTCGCATCATAGATAAATAAATATGTAGCAAGCTAGCTCGCATAATCGTAATTTTCGTTATGTCGTGTCGGTGACTGATATATACTCGTGATAGAGTAAATGGGCGCTATGTTATTCTTAGCGATTTCGGCTTGCATGTTGATTACTTGTGCAAATGCAGAATATAGCTTAAAATGCAACAATAAATCTGAAAGTAGTATGTCATTTGAACCATCTACTGATGGTGTAAAAGGTCGTTACACAGTTGTTTGGTGTACGGAGGCAGATGAAAATGTAACTGAATGGGATCTTATTATACGATATTATGAGACACGCAAACCTGAAAAGTGTAAGCATTACGATTTAAAGCACCCTCCACCATTGGGTCAAGCACACTCTCATATACGGCAAGATGTTAAAATAAACCGTAATTGTACAAATGTAAGTAAAGAAAGTTTCCATAGTATACTTTATAGCATTATTGCAGTATTGATCAACAGCATCTGGCATCAGACTCTGGATTTTTCACTCTAAATTCACAGATGGTAATAATAAGCATATAATTACCTGTACTAATTTTGAAATAATTTTTAATCAGTGCTGGGATAATGCCTCTACTCTATCCTACTTGCTTGCAAGTGTGATGAAGATGGGAAACCTTCCAAAGAAAGTATTTCATTTTTTGGGAAAAGCATAATATGTTTAACAGTAAACTTAGGGGTTTAATATGTTTAATGATATGTTGTAGTATGTCCAGCCATAAATAATATGTGTATCATATATACAGTGGAATCTTGATAACTCGAACCTTGTTAAGTCATGATTATCAGTAGGATGAAAAAAATGCCTATCCTTACTGCTGAACCCCAGTATCTTGAATTATTTAGGCTTTGTAACTCAAACAAAATGTTATGTCCCTGCGAGTGCAAAGTATTAATAGTAATTATTGATACTCTATAACTCGAATTTCAATAAGCAGACTGTAAGTTAGTAAAATATAATGATGGCTTACTCAAAATTCCCCAATCTCATAGCAATAAAATCCAAAAGAAATGCTTGTTCATTCCATTCTAGTGTGTGTACTTTGTACACATAATAAATACATTCATTAAAGTTTTTAAGCAATACAATATGTTTGAGAAAAAATCTTGAAATTCTTGTTGAGTCGAAAACTATTACCTCAAAATTTTTTGCATTTCGCTTGAAATTCTAGTCATCGAGATTCCACTGTACTTATATCCTGTTGCTGTGTGTGTGTGGGTTGGGGCAAATTTGAATCATACAGTGAAACATTTAGTTAAAAACATTCTAAATGAGAGATGAAGAGAAATTATAAGAGAATTATAAGCAAATTTTTCTTACAGGCTTGCTTTTCAACATCAGTTGATCTGATATTCCAAGCATGCTATGCCATTAAGAGCATGCTAATGAGAGGGATCCACAGTTCTGAAGGTCATGATTCCTTTCATTATGTAAGGAATAACTTCACTGATGTCAGATCACTAAGAGCTAGTACTCCTGCTGTCAAATTTGTCAATTACAAGTAAGTAAATATATTATTAAATTATATCCTAGGTAACATGAAATCTTTGGCTTTTGGAACTACAAACTATAATAGAGATAAATAATTACGAACACATACACTTACTTTACAATAAAATAATATCATTATTAACAATCATTACTTTAATTAATTAATAGCTAAATACTATTAATTAATTGAAGTCATGATTGTATTGTGTTAGCGACAGCACCCATGCTCACCTATTCCCTCCACGTTTCGTTCAGCACTTGACTTATGTGCCATGACTTGTACAAATGCTTTCATTCACTCCTTACAGCCCATTAAAAGTCCACTGCTGAACATAGCTTCGCTACTCTCATCCGCTAGATTGCTTAATAGGTGAGATATTTGCCACATTCACCAGGTGGTTCTCTGGAAATGCTGTTTCAATTTTCCTCTTCACCTGTTATGACACCCAGAGGATGATATAGGTTGGTGGATTGTCTTGTGCTTCCATTACACAGCTTTTGATTAGACTATTAATCTCCACATCACCTCATCGCTGTTGCAAGAGGCGATAAAGGGAAACAACCCAGGAGATGGGCAGCACCATTTTTTACAATAACAACTATAACATAAAAAAACTGCGTTTGCAAACCTGCCTGCCAAGCGTGGCAGCTATGGCAATATTTCCCCTATGAGTACACGATTCTTTATATTTCTTTCAGTGAACTTGTATGGTCAATCTGACTTTTTCAAATGGGTTAAATTTTTTTTAAAATGGCATTGATTTTATCCATATGACGACCAGAGCAAGTTGCATCTTTGACATCAAAATTCCCACACTGAAAACGCTTGTGCCTACACTTACTAACCAACTTTGTGCTTCTCTTACTGACACTGCGTTAGGTCCATAAATGTCATAAATTTTTTTCGCGGCTTGAGTCGTATTTTTCCGGTTTTTTAAATAAAACTTCAGAATGTATCTAATTTCTTTGTTAGATTCACACATACCAAACAAATTTTTCTTCAATTTTATACAAACAAAATACGAAAAAACTTTCCCCGAACCTATTATTAACTTTATAATATATAAACATGAAAACAAATATACGAAGAACTAACACACCTGTAATGCAATACTAGACTTAACGAAATTAGTTATTTATTTAAGGTTTAATGTAGCTTTTATAATAAAACTAGCTGATCCGCCCGGGCTTCAGATGGGTGATTTTTGGATCTCGATAATAGCGCCAATTACCAAGTCCAATTGAGTTATAAACCATCCAGAGACCTATGATGACCTATGATATATGTTCTCAAGTTTTAGCGAGACTAACACACAGCAATTGAAGATTAATAAGATTTCAGAAAATGTATCAATCAATAAGTTATTTTTTTTAAATAAAATAAAAATAAACTATAATAAGGGTCATTGTAATATTAAGGAATACACTAAAAAATAAAAAGGTGATCGCTACCATGCTGGTTCAACTATATATGTTTTTTCAAAATGTGAGGGTTCTTTTTAGGGTTCTTCCTGAACAAAACCTTCTATTTTCCCAGAACAGAAGTGACCTTCAATACATAAGTATTCTATAATAATACCTATATCTCTATATTTATACAATTAAATGAAATTAAAGTGTCTGTTTGTAATGTCAAACTAAAAGATTTTTTACTAAATCCGTATGAAAGTAGCTAATATGACAAAAAATCAATTTTTGAAATTTTTTGGCTGTCTGTCTGTTTGTTCCGGCTAATCTCCGAAACTGTTGGATCGATTTGGACGGGACTTTCACTGGCAGATAGTTGATGTTATAAAGAGTAACTTAGTCTATTTTTATTTAAAAAAAGAATTAGGGTTCCACGCAAAAAATTAAAATCCATGATATCCAATTATAATAAATTGTTCACGGGTTAAGCTCCGGGAGCTGCTAGTGTTCTATAAAAGTAAGTAAAGTAAAGTAAAGTTACAGCCTATATACGTCCCACTGCTGGGCTCCAGGCCTCCCCTCATTTCTGAGAGGGTTTTATAGCAAGGAAGTGTCCGCCGCGCTGCCCAAATGCGTGTTGACGAACTTCACATGTCTTCGAAATATTTTTTTTTCTTATTCCTCAGACATGCAGGTTTCCTCACGATGTTTTCCTTCACCGCCGAGCACGTGGTAAATCAGCACTTAAAATTGCAATTAACAATTTCATTGGTGCCGGCGGGGATCGAACCCGCGTTACTCGCGTTCTGGTATATTTACAGCGAGCGTTAACCACTGAGCTACCACGGCTCTATAAAAGTATTCCACTTTATTCTAAGTTATTATTTTTAAATCTTATATTTTCTTAAAATATATTTTAATATGTTTCAGTGACTATGTGTCAGCCATTTGGTTCCTTGGCTCTGTCCCTGCTGGCAACTTCACAATGGATATCTGCAGTATTAATGGCACGTTGCCTTCTGAGGTAATTCACATCATGGAACAAACTTCTTCTTCATCCTATCTTCTTATTATTATTTTTTTGACTCGTAGATTTTTGGCTTTCAGTTTTTAAAAAACGGTACCTCTAGACTAGGATTTTCTCTTGTATCGTGAGGGCAGTTTACATACGTAAATTTCGCAACGACAAAACGTCCAGACTCGAAACAATTAAGCCACTGCGCCACGGAGCCGTCAAATCAGCACCATAATATTAACTACAGTTGTAGTCGAAGCTATAGTAAGGTTTATTAATAACTAGCGATCCATTATTAATGACAGGTTAAATTGGTTAGCATATATCACTGCTGTTAGTAACAGATTAAGAAAGCTCATATATGTGTTTAAAAACTTAAGAGATGTTTTAGATAATGAAACTATAATGAAAGTATATAAAGCCTTTGCAGAATGTGTTATGACTTACTGCATTAATTCAAGGTGTGGGGCAGCTAAAACACACCTCATTGAACTCGAACGTGCACAGCGTGCTTTATTGAAAGTCATTAAAGGCCTCCCTTTTAGAAACCCGATTGAGGACTTACACAAAAAATGTAGGTCAGCTATCCCTTGCCCCTAAAAGAGCAACTTCACTGGAAGATTAATTTTATACCGCTTGTTATAATAGTTTGTCACTTTACAATTATGTGTCACTGAAACGGGGAAGAAGCTATAGCCTATAACACAGTTTTCAACTACCACGGGCTACAGAGCTTCAATATGATTTGTTTGTACAAGTTATGTGGGAAACAATAAATATTATTATGGGGTATTCATAGAGTATTCTCATCTTGTTGGGCTAAATAAATATATTAAAGGAAATGAGAAATATACATAAGTATATATTTGATATACTAACATAAATAAATAATACATAAATAAATAAAAGCCCAACCAGATGGAAGCCCTCGGCAGGGGCGACCAAATAGCCGAGGGAAAGGAACCGGCGGACCGCCGCCTTGTGCATTTGAGACAGGAGCAGTCCGTCACGAAATCTATTGTCTGATCTATCTGTCTGTCTGTGATCTGATTAACAAACACATTTGCAGAAACGACTAAAGGTATAATTATCGGTCGACAGCCCACCCCACATGTCGGTCACCTCGTGGGCCAGGTCCAGATACTTTGTTCACTTATCTGTTTCGGCTTTCACGAGGTTCTCGTCATACGGAATGGTGATGTCGATCAAAATTATCCTTGACTGTGCCGGGTCCATCAGCACAATATCAGGCTTATTTGCAAGAATAGTCCCGTGTGTGATGATGGCAAGGTCCCAGAAGAGCCTGGCGCGGTCATTTTCAAGCACGGCTTCCACCAAGTACTTGTAATTAGAGATGGGCCGAATATGAATTTCACCGAATACGAATATTCGGCCGAAAGTTCGTTAAAACTTTTACCGAAATGAATATTAGGCCGAATATTATTCGGCAGGATCACCTTGGTACCTAACCAATTTATGTGGAAACTTATTGCCGTAAAACGCGCGGGATAAACGCCGAACCCTGCCCCTCGCTCCCCCGCCACACCTGATATGTTATTACATCATCTAGTACTGAGCAAATTGCCGGCACATGCTTATGTTTTGACTATTATAATGAGAAAAAAGTATTTCGTTGTGTTATTCTTAGTGAAAATTGATAATTATACGATAAAAATGAGTGGCAGGTGATCTATTTGAACTTATTTTAGAGAAACTGACGACCAAAGTAAAGTGAAATGTACTTATGTAATGTAATGTTTCTTTATTTGATTCCAGAAATATTTTATCAGGCATTCTATTTGCTATAATTGGAAATAAATCTACAGTGCCTCAAAAACATAACATTTCAAGTAGAATTTAACCCATAAATAAAATATACTTTCAACAGTAAAATTATGAAAGACATGGCATTACTCAATTCGTACATTTTAATACAGTGGACACTGAGTACCACTTGAACGAATGTTCGGTGATTTAGCCGAATATTCGGCCGAATACGAATATTCAGTAAAGATGCCTAATACCGAATATGAAACGAATATTCGGCCCATCTTTACTTGTAATACGGCAATTTCCGGTTCACGAGACCGTATTTCAGAGCGAGCTCCTGGTGTAGAATTGGCTACTAGGTTAATACAATAAAATACAATACTCTTTATTGCACACACAATAATAAAAAGAACAACAAACTTAAATTGATAAATTTATGTACAATAAGGTGACCTTATCGCTAAACAGCGATCTCTTCCAGGCAAACCTTGGTGAAGGAGATCTTTTACATACAAAAATATAGAAGTGTGCATAAATAGTAGTTAAAAATCATGCATAACACATTATATATATATATATATATATATATATATATATACATAATCATACACATATATACATATCCATACACATACATATTTATACATATACATATTTATAAATATTTTTGTAACACATAGCTACACATTATATACATACCATATATACACAAACCTTATCAAGTATAGTAGATATGATAATGAAATATATTAAGTAGAACACATATTTAAATAATAATTTTTAACCAGTTTTTTGAAAGACTTAATGTTTTGGGCTTTCTTAATTGTTAAAGGAAGCGAGTTCCATAATTTAATTGCTTTGACACAAAAGGAAGAATTAAAAATTTTGAATTGTGAGCAGGCATTCGCAAAATAAGCTTATCGGATAATCTGGAATGATCTTTATCTGCACCCGCAAACTCAAATTTTTCCTTTAAATACTTCGGTGTTTTAGGATCAAATAGTACACAGTACAGTTGAGATAGAATGTGAGTATTCCGACGAAGTCTGATAGGAAGCCACTTGAGCTTAGTACGAAACTCAGAAACATGATCATATTTGCGGAGGCCATATATGAACCTAATAGCGAAATTCTGAAGACGCTCAAGTTTATTTAATTGATCCTCAGTAAGATTAGAATAGCATACATCAGCATAATCAAGGATAGGGAGTAACAAGGACTGTGCCAGTAAAATTCTAGTAGGAATCGGTAATGAGTTACGCAAACGTCGTAAGGAAGATGATGCCGCGAACATCTTTCTACTGGACTCTTTAATATGTAGGGACCAAGAAAGATTTTGATGAATGTGTAATCCTAGGTCTTTTACAGATTTGCTAAAAGGTATCACAACACCATCAATAACAATAGGTGGTAGGTTATCCCAACAAATTCTGGAAATTACAGTACTATTTCCAACAATAATGGCTTGGGTCTTATTGGGATTTAAATTGAGCCCGAACGACCTGCTCCAATCATGTATTGCAGCAATTGTCTGTGCGACAATGATTTCAAAAGGAAGGATAGGCCCATCTAAATATTTTACTTATAATTTTTCACACAAGGAAAAGTAGCGCATCCGTCATAATACAAACGTCATATCATAACACAACGTAACCAGGGTCGGATTTCGTAGTATAATTATCCTTATTGTACCATTATTTCATAGTTTGTAATATATAGTATCGTAATAATACTAAGCGAAAATACCATAATTTTACCTAAAGTCGACTTGTATTATTATTGGGTCCTTTTACTTTTTAATACTAACCCTACGATATCGAGAATTTCTGTATTGTACATCAGTACCGCGTTTTTTAAATAAAATTAAAATTAGCTCCCTTTCTGGTCAATCGGTGCTCGATCGATGCATTTATGTTGCATCCTTGATACAACTATATTGAGGGGCTACGAAGCAATCGGTTTGAAAACAGAATTTTAAAATATTTTATGAATCAGATTTTCAGATTCCATTAAGCAGATATGGTTTCTTTTGTACTCTTTTCGTTTTAACCTTATTGAATATAAAATATATTAGGTACCAATATTCAAAATTTAACTTACACTAAGTTTTTTAGACAAAAATACAATAGAAATAAAAAAACACTAAAAAATAAATAAAAAACGAAACGTGTAGATAAACTAGACGCGTGACGCCGAAATTCCGCCACATGAGAAAAAATAAACATCAAACGTCAAACGCGATATAATTTTTTAAAATTAGTATAATTTTATTTTTCATGTACAATATTTTTGAGGGTCTGAATCCAACCCTGGCCTAATCTTGGTAGCGTAACTAAACTAACTGTAAAATAAACTTTAAAAATGCGTTTATATAATAATTTAATTGTAACAAAATTAGTATAAGATTATTAACCGATGATACGATATCCCATGTTCCTGTTTAGTCTTTGTATCGTAATTTTTGCATCCTTTTACCACGCAATTAGACATATTTATGACAGGCAAATCTGTCCTGCGCGCGCACCACTGTCGACCGATTCGCGTTGGCCCTAAACTGTTATTTTAGGGTCAGCATACTGGTCCGTTTCAGTTGTTCGGCCCGGTCCTTACGCTAGTAATATATAAGTCAATGTTGTGCAAGTACTCAGATTTAAAAAGCGCCGAACAACCGGAGATGACACGTCTAAATGACTCACCGGAATGGCGACAAGCTCGACAGACGTCGACGGTGCCATCCCTTAGGAGGTATCTCCGATAGTTGTTGGTCTTAATATTATTTTTATTACCTTTATTCCGGCTTCGCCTGGGTGGTGCCTATTAATGTCATTTATCTCAACATTCAGATTTAAGATAAGCATCAACGAACATTTATGTTATCAGTTTTACGATTTCTCAAAAAAAATCGCCATGCTTTTCTGATAAAATATAGTCTAGATTGCTCGCAATCGGTGCAGCCGTTCTGAACATCAACCCGAACAAACAAACAGACAGGCAAATTTTTTTTAAAATTGTTATTCACACCTTTATGTCGATCGATTGATGTGTATTATTTATAATCTATATTGAATTTAAAAAATCTGTTTCTTTATGACATCAGAATGTTAAACATTCATCCCCCCTCCCCCTCCCTGAATATTGAAGGCGTAACACGTCTAAAATATGTTCTTCTGAAGGTTGACCTCAGAAAAGCTTTTAAGGACGCGTTTGCAAATCAACCAAAATTAGGGTGTTTTTCGGTA